TGATATTGCTCTATCATTTGAGCATTCTGTTGCATCACCTTTCTTTGGAATGAGTACAAATATGGATCTCTTTCAGTCAGTTGGCTAAATAGCTGTCTTCCAAATTTCCTGGCATAGACCAGTGAGTGCTATCAGAACTTTATCAGCTTGTTGAAATATTTCAGTTGATATTCCATCAATGCCTAAAGCCTTGCTTTTGGCTCATGCTTTGAGTGCAGCTTGAACTTCTTCCTTCGGTTCCACTGGCTCTTGCTCATATGCTACCTTCTGGAATGGTGCAATGCCAATGAGTTCTCTTTGGTGTAGTGATTCCACATCCCCACACCCCCGCCCCATCTTCCTTTGATGCTTCCTGCATCATTCAATATTTTTCCCACAGAATTTTTCAGTGTTGTAACTGAAGCTTAGACTTTTTCTTGATTCTTTGAGTTTGAGACATGCTGAGTGCGTTCGTCCTTTCTGGGTTTCTAACTCGAGGTCTTTGCATATTTCATCGTATTTTTTCTTCTCCAGCTGGCCTATGAAATTTGCTGTTCAATTCTTTGACTTCATCATTTCTGCCATTTCCCTTACCTACTCTACAATTAAGAGCAAGTTTCAGAGTCTCTTCTGACATGCACTTGATCTTTTCTCTTTCTTGCCTTTCTGACAACCTTTGTTTTCTTCATGAGTGATGTTCTTGATGTCCTCCCACAGCCCATCAGGTCTTCTGTCATTAGTCTACAAGGCATCAAATTTGTTTTTGAGAAGTTCTCGAAATCCAGGTAAGATATATTCAAGGTTTTATTTTGGCCCTCATAGACTTGTTTTAATTTTCTTTAGCTTCAAACTGAACTTAGATATGAGTAATTGCTGATGATCTGTTCCAGTTAGTCCCTGGTCAGTTTTAGCTACTGATATTGAACTTCTCCATTGTGTCTTCCCACAGATGTAATCAATTTGATTTTTGTGTATTTCACATGGAGAAATCTATGTGTATAGTCACTGTTCCTGTTGTTTAAAAATAGCTATTTTCTATGAAGAAGTCGTGGGCCTTGCAACATTCTATCATGCAATCTCCCCTTTTGTTTTTATCACCAAGATCATATTTTCCTACTCTTCCTTCCTTTTTGTTTCCATGCATTCTAATCACCAATAATTATTTATGCAACTTAATTTGATGTTTGATCAATTTCACACTGAAGATGTTGACAGAACTCTTCAGTTTCTGCATCATGTGCTTTAGTGGTTGGTGTGTAAATTTTAATAATACTTGTATGGATTGTATTGTATGTGGATAGATATTATCTTATCACAGACAGCATTGTACTTCAAGATAAATCTTGAAATTCCCCTTTTAATGATAAATGCAACACCGTTCCTCTTGAATCTGTCATTCCCAGCATAGCAAACTGTATGATTTTCTGATTCATAATGGTCAAAACCTGTTCACTTGTCACCTCATCAATACCTAGAATATACATTTATATGTGCTCCATTCATTTTTCTCCTCTTCTAATTTTCCTAGATTCATACTTTGTACATTCTAAGTTCTGATTGTCAATTGATGTTTGCACCTGTTTTCTTCTCATTTTGAGTCATGTTCTATCAGTAAATGAACATCCCAGAGGTTGTACTCCTCCAGGATTTACTCCATCTGTTATTAGGATCGACTCTACTTGGAGAAGGTGCTCTTCCTCAAACATATTTTGGGTGCCTTTTGGTGTAGTGGTTACGCCTTGAGTGTTAATCACAAGGTCTGCGGTTTGAAACCACCAACTGCTCTTTGGGAGAGAGATGGGGCTCTCTACTACTGTAAATAGTTACAGTCTCAGAAACTCCCAGGGGTAGTTCTTTCCTCAAAAGGGTTGCTATGAGCTGCCATCAATTCGATGGCAGAGAGTTTTTGTTGTTGTTCTGACCTGAGGGGCTCATCTTCTGGTAATATTTCTGACCATGTCCTTGTATTCATGACGTTTTCGGTATCTGACAAAATTTCAATTCTATTCATAAGGTTTTCAGTGGCTACTGACTGAGAAGTGGACAATCTATTCCATCTTCTTAGTCTGGAATCCCTGCTGAACCCTGTTCACTTTGGGTGACCCTGCTTGAATTTGAAATGCCAGCGAAATAGCTTCCAGCACTACGGCAACACACAAACCGAACGAGTGGTGGGAGGAGGGAAGTAATATTAACATTTCCACTTGCCAGCTAGCAAGTGCCGGAGCCAGATGCTATCAAGTCCATGGTGATTCGTGGTGGGCCCAAGTGTGTCAGAGTAGTACTGTGCGCCATAGAGTTTCCAATGGCTATATTTTAAAAGCATATCACCAAGCCTTTCTTCCGAAGTGCCTCTCATTGGGTGGACGCAAAGCTCCGATATTTAGTTTAGCAGGCAAAGTCATTGACTGTTTACATGACTACCATGAGTCAGAACTAATTAGATGAAACTGTTTTTTAAGTGTTGGAGCTGTGTTCAAACCCTTTTAGCCAGAGGATGAATCAATCCAAACCATGTCACCATCCAGTGTTTGGAACCACTAAAAGGCATAACAAAATGAAGAAGCAACCTCATGTAACTCAGTCTACAATAGCATGCTGAACAGCAAGAAGGATGATAGAAGGTGGAGAAGTAGTTGCTCGTGGTAGTTAATGTTTTTCTCAAAAGATCAATATCATTTTATTTTCTAATTGATTTTAAGAGCTTTCTGCCAGGGCCCTCTCTGGGCAATTAATAGAATGTCTGAGACATGTTGGTGTGACACTTAGCATAAGAAACAAACTAGGACCTGCTTACGGATTGTTGTACATGTCGTGTTCAAGGGCACATGGCTGAAAGTCTTCTTTAGGATTCATTTGGGGCATGCTTGATTTCTGGGAAGAATGTGACCAGTCCATTCCTAAATAGGTGGATGAACTCAATACAAACAATGTGTAAGGGAAGAAAGGTCCCAACTTTCATTTACATTAATGCAGTTTAGGCTTTTATATGCCTCGCTTCTGAGGAAATGTTTAATCTCTAAGAATATAGGCTTCAAACATGGTGGCGTCATTAGAATTTGTCAAGGCAAACACAAGTGAAATGCATGGATTCACCTAAAGAGTAAGGACCTGTCTTATCAGTTTTCAAATCTAGTATAATGCTGAGCCGAGAACATTACAGATAGCCGATGTCAAATAAATGCTTATTAAATAGAATGGAACCGAAATGCTGGGGGGAAATTATCAGCTTTGCAAAGGGCATTATTAACCTGAGACTTCATTGTGAAGTTTTACTTTCTGATTTATTGGCATGAACCCTCGGATCCATTTTTTAAAAAATGTGAAAAAGAAAAATGCTGATTTTTTTTTACTATGAAGATCATTCAATTACCTGTTCTATCAAACATTTATTAAGCACCACTGTTCCATGTTTGGAATGTTTTAAATACATGCCAAAAACCCAGACGCACTGCCATAGAATCGATGCCACCTCATAGTGACCCTCTATGTGGAAATCTGTACCAGAACAGGTCACCAGATCTCTTCTCCCATGGGACCCCTGGTGGGTTCACACCACCACCATTTCAGTTAGCAACTTACCAGAGCACCACCAGAGCTCCTCAAATGTATGATGGTGTTTTAAATAATAGTGTGCAATAATAAGAACCCCAATGGATTTCTTGTGGTACAGTGACTAAGCCCCTGGGCTGATAACCGAAGGGTCAGTGGTTTAAACCCACCAGTCCTACAGTGGGAGAAGGTGGTCTGTATCTGCAAAGACCACCCTTGGGCACTTCTCTGTTCTCAAGTCACTATGCGTTGGAATTGATTCAATTGCAATGGATTTTTTTTAAAATTAAAAGTTATTCAGTTCACCTGATTCACTGCAGGGAAAGCAAATAAAAACCTCACCTTCAGTAATCCAAAATGCCGAGATATTTACATCTTAAAGTGTATGCAAACTTGCTTATGAAAGCTTTTCATTCGAAAGCAAAGCTGTGACCGGTCACAGAACCAACCCACCCCATTGAGTGTGGCAGCGAAGCTCGGGGCGGCTCCTCCAGCACCTGCAGCGTCACGGACCTTGCACCGCAGTCCACGAGCCCGGGGAGAGCAAAAATCTCCAGGTCTCCCAGGGCGCGTGCCCGAGCTGTGGGGAAAGGAGGGCGTGGAGGTGGGTCATTCAGAGGATCCAATCAGATACGG